GGAGGGAACGGCTTGGAGTCAACCTGCATGGCCGCCTTCTCCGGAAACTGGAACTTCTTTTCGTCTATCAACTTCTGGATGACATCTCATAGGACAACGCAATTGTTGGTGTTGTGGGACCAAGAACTGTGGTATTTGTAAAACGTCTTCCCTTTGAGCTCGTCAGGTTTCGGGATTTTATGGCCGAAAGACAATTTGACCTTTTTCTCGGCCAGTAGCAGATCGAAGATGGCCTCGGCCCTTGTTAGGTCAAAAGTATAGGCCTTTGTTTCCCGCGTTGCGAACTTGGCGTCAGGTATTTTTGTGCGGCTATTGTCGGTTTTGACAAGTCCTTTGCATACGAAGGGTTTGTCTATGCTGACTTCGGCCGAACTCATCTCTACCTCATCGCTCTCGGCTTCTACGGAGCCGTCTGCTTTGGCGTAGCTGACGATGGGATTCCTGTAGTAGGTCCCTTTCGAGGCCGCCTTCTTCTGCATCTCTTCTTTTAATAAGGACGCATATCTGTCCACCTTGTTTGTCAAGTCATACATGTCTCGGAATTCGATTCCCAGGAATTTCTTCCTGTACTCGAATTCCAAGCCCTCTTCGGCCATCTTGACAAACTCCCTCTCTGGCAGGTTCGTGCGGCACCAGTTCCTGCATATTTTGAATTGTTGTAGGTAGTCGCGAGGTGATTCGTCTGATGCCTGGCTCATCCTTGCCAGCTCGGCGACCGTTATTTCTCGGTTGGTCTGATAGAAATGTTCGTGGAATATCCTTTCCATATCAGACCAATCCCTTACTGAGTTCGGCGAAAGGTTTATAAACCATGAAAACGCCGCGCCAGTCAAAGAATGGACAAATAAACGGAGCTTCTGGGCGTCCGAATCGGCCTCTCCACACTGGGCCATGAAGCGGCCTATGTGTTCAATGGAGGAGGTCTGCCCATCCCCGGAGAACAGCATGAATTCTGGCAATCGATAGTTCCGGGGAAGAGGGGTCCGGTCGATTTTCGGCGGGTACGGCCTCGTATATCTTGGTGCATCTGGCCGCCTCGGGGCCAGGCCATCCTCAATCATCCGCCGGACGTCTTCAAATCGGAGCCCTTGAGGTGGCGCCTCCTACTGGGCCGCATACGGCCGTGGGGCCTATTGCACATCGTTCTGTGGTCTCATCTGCTGGGCCACTTGAACAAGGGGCTCGGCCGGGACGACCGAGCTGGTTGACGTCAGATGAGCGCCGTGGGTTTGGCTGAGGTGCGTGTGCGTTGCCGCTGGATTGGCCGAACCGTAGTGGAGGTGAGAGCCCAGCGGAAACAACGACGCCTGCGATGGTGGTGAGACGGTCGGATTGCTCTGATCGTACTGTTGTGATGATACAGCGGTCGCGTCACTTGGGCCAGGATGAGTCTAGACGGCCGCAGTGTGCACTGGGCCGAGTGGATGGATCGCAGGATGCGTGAGGCTGCAGTGCTCTAGTGATACGGCCAACGCATGGAGTGGTCCACGCGCTGTCTCTGCCGAGTAGGTTGGCCCAGAATTCGCCCATATGGGCTGGGACTGCCCCCAGCTGTTTGTCGGCGGCAAGGAATGCTGGCCGTAGCCTGATGCTTGGCTGTGGGCCATACGATCCGTCATTACTGGAATGCTAGCCGAGATCCCGACCGTATGCTCAGTCTCGGTGATAGTGATTGGTGAAGTGGACTCAGGAGTCTCAGAAGTCATTTCGACTGCTTTGTTTTTGAGCTTTGCTTGTGCCCTAGTTTCCACCATAAGTTTTGACAAGTGTCCCACTGGGCGTGCCAAAAGTGTCTACCGCGCAGATCTCACGGCCTGGGTTTCAGGGCCTAGGGGATATGCATTGACACGCGGCTTCATGCTTTTGGGTGCGGTGCGTTTGTGCGCGGCCGTGCCAGCAGGGTCTACCGTGCGTCGAGATGATTGATGTGGATAGAATGGTTAAGTGGTGCGCCTATCTGGACTCATCTTCTAATCAAACGATTGTAGCCGAGAGAGGAACTAATCTCGGCTGTTAGGTTCACGGCCCGAGCTACAAGGCCGTTTAGTGATGGTGTTGGTGGGTTTTGGGCGGTGCTCCGGCGCGCTGCTCAGGGAGCGACA